GACGTTTGCATTCATTTGACCATACTTTTTCTTTTAGTTAAATTGGATTGCGATAAAAACATATTGGTAGTTGTTTAAATTTTGATTTATTTTGGTAAATAATATTTTTTTTTAATTTATTTTTACTTTATATATAAATACGAAAAAGCCCATAAAGCCCTGTAGCCCTATTCGGGCCGGATTTTAAAAAATAGGCTCGAATATTCGAGCAAGCCCGGCCCGGTCCGGTCCAAAACCCGTAAAACCCGCCTATTTTTCATGCCTAACTAAGACAGACAGAGCTGAAGCAGAGCGGGAAGAGAGCTGAAGCAGAGCTGGAACAGAGCTGGAGCAGACGCTGAAGCAGTTATTAACAAGATTGGCTGCGGGCCTTGATGCTCATGGGCTTGATGGGAAGGCCACGTGATTTGGAGAGTCATTAGGGTCTAGAGACATGAGTATTTATACCTAGAGGCGTAGACAAACACATTTACGCGTCTAGGGTTCCATTATGAGATGCATACATGAGTATGGCGTCGTCCCACCATATTAATGGTGGTTTGTCTATGAAGATTGCAGTCATTGAGAAGACGATGATGCACCGGTGATGCTGGTTGGTGATCAAGCATGCGTGCTTGATACCTATCTTCATAGGTTGGTATTTCATCTAGAAAAGAGTGGTAGGCATTGTAGTGTCGGATACCATATGTAATTGTAGTTGTAATCTTGTTCTAGTGGATTATTTCTGGACGTGGTCCCGGGGAGTAGGAAACGAACCCTAGTTAACAAATCTCTTGTTTGAATTTACTTTATGCTCTTACATAATCGTTGCACACACAAACATTTAGATCTAGCCACGAAATCGCACTTTCAATTGGTATCAGAGCGGGACTCGATAGAGATTCGTTCTTATTTTTGGGTATGATCATGGATTCGGTGTTGGTGGTTGAGAATGTGTTACAACTAAACTTAAATAGAAATTCCAAGATAAATTCCAAAGAGATCCAATGTTCATAAAACAAAGAATTCTCAAGTTTACCTTACAAGAATCCAGAAATAAGAAAAGATTCTTTGAATTGGATGAACAACAATGTCACTTTGAGAGAAAACAGAGGAAGGAGATAACCAATGTCGGCACAAAATAATTGAATGAATAAAAAAAAACTCTTTTTTTTCTTCTTTTAACCCTACTTTAGCTTTTGTTGATCTCAGCCATCGAATCTGATCTTCAATATCCACCCTCCACGTGTCAAGCACTCCATAAACAAACTTACTATATCA